AAAGTCATATTTAACCATAAGTCTCAGATATCATTTTCCAGGCAAGGGTGAATTGCTGCTCTGTGGTTCAATTACCTTCTTTTTCATAGACCAAACAAACACTCTTGCTTGGCTTCTGAAAATCTCATATTTAATTCTATATGGCAAGAATGTGGGGAGAATTTCTGTTTGCAGTGACATTTATAATTGCCAGTAATGGAGCATAGACATACTGCCATAGGTATATTGGTGTTGCTGGCATGGGATTTAACCATTTAAAATAAGTAGGACAAGAAACTTCACTGAAAAATTTGCTGTTATATTTTTAAGGTGTTATTACTGGTAACATATATGCCTTAGATGGAAAAATCCTAAGTGTGAAAAATCTGTTTTCAAAGATTCTGCAGTTTTGTTTCATGATTGAAATTTCTTATATAAGAAATACAACACTTTGTGGAAAACAAAACAAAAAAACCCCAACCAACAGAAAAAAACATCACCCAAAGAGACAGAGATAATATATCAGGTTTGTTACAGCCAGCTTCTCCATGTTGATTAAAGAAAAGGTATCGTGAACGGAGTAAAAGCTGCATTTTGACTCCATCTAGTAGCCCTTTCTCCATTCTTGGGAAGCTGGCCAAGTAACCTAGGCAAGCTTGAATGCTTATTCTTTTGAATGTTCTTGTATCTTGGCCCTGCTGTGTGCAAGGAATGAGGCAAAAATCTCAAGTAGAGCATTTGAGTCAGTTTAACTGTAATGCTGAATGTCCAAATTGCATTGTCGTGATCAAAATTTTGTCAAAAAGGACACACACCTCTTATAGAAAGCGAAGAATTTTTTGCTAGTGTAAAACAAACTTTCACAGTCTAATTGAAGAATCATTATTAGTCCACATCCATTTGCTACTGGATAAACAAAAGAAATCAATGCTACATACAGAACTATATCCCAGTAATAAATAATACAGGTAAAATTGTTATACACACGCAGTGCTAACTGGTTTCAATCCCTTTTCCAGCTGTTATGCTCACCATTCCTTGATCCTCTGAATACTAAAATAAAGAGCTTCAGTCAGGTATTTGGGGGTAGGGGAGATGCACCCCTTTGCCTTGGAGTACATTAAGTTGATGGTTTCTCTTTCCTCCTCCTCCTCCTGCTTTTTTTGTCCCTTTTTTAATTTATGTGGTAGGTAAACTATATGTGGGGTAAAAATAAGAGTTTTTAAAGCCAAACCCCTTCATCTGTCACAACTTTTCTGCCTGCTGGGTTTGTTATTTCTTGTGCAAACAAATATGCTTTCCTTTGTCCATGGGAAATGGGAGACAGTGTCATGCTGGGGTCTTTTTCAATCATGTTCTTTCTTGGAACAGATTCCCTTTTGGGATTAGGGGCAAACTTCAGTGATAAGTAGATCAGAAGTCCTCAAGAGCACAGAAGTTTGTGCACTATAGTCTTCTTGATGCCTAATCAAGAAAATTTGGGAAGAAAACTTAAGCTTGGATTGTGTTTAATTTTTCCAGTGACAATTCCTTCTCTTGTGGAACACTTCCTTTTCTTGTTTGAAAGAGTGTCAGCAGTGTTAAGAGCTTTGGGTGCCACCTCTTCTCGCTGTCAGGAGAGTCTCTGTGGATGTTGAAGCTCTGTCTGGGCTTGGGTGCTGGGCTGGCTTTCTGCTCCTGCTGTTAGAATGGGAATCTTATGAATCTCTTAAGAGAAAAAAAGTCTGTTAGGGAAGACAAGAGGGGCTGTGTTTATTAAAACAGCATCCAGCAAAGGGAAAACCTGAAGAAAACTGATGTGAAGCAGCAAATCCCTTTCCTTTGGTGTATTGTACTGTGTGGTGTTTAGGGGCAGTATTTGGGCTGACCCAAAATGGAGCTGCTTTTCCTGTGAAGAAAGGGGCTGTAAAGTGAGGATTTTCCTGGGGGTGTGTGTGGTGTGTGTGCAGTTCTGAACCAAGGGTGCCTCAAAAATGGAGCATGTGCTTCCTGGGGCAGGTGACTGATGTGCCCAGAGGGTGGAAAGAGCAAAGCTTCTGGAAGTGCGGCGGGCAGGGGCTCACCTGTGTGAGGGGGGATGTCACCTGCACGGGGAGGGGCTCACCTGCGTGAGGGAGTCCCCGGAGGGACACCTGGGGCAGGCTGCTCCTTGGTAAGGAGGGCTGGGGCTGCCTCAGGGCCACCCCCTCTCTATCCTCAGGGAGTGATTTATTTCTGGTGTTGGGTTATTTGTGGGTTTGTGCAGTTTCAGCCAAAATCTGTTTGCCTCAGGTGCTGAGGCGGCCAGTACCAAAATGGAGGGCAGGGTCCTGTTGGGACAGGGACAGCTCTGTGGAAAAGCACCGTGGCATGGCCAAAACATGGAGAGGGGAGAGGAAGGGTGAGCAGGCTGTGCCAGGGCAGTGAGGAGAGCAGGGATTTTGACAGGAATGCATGGGAGCAGGAAGGGTCACGGCAGGAAAAGAGGTGGGTCTGGGCAGGGAGGAGGTGGTGGGAGCAGTGTTGCACGGGGTGGGATGTGGGAATGAGAGCCTGAGGACGAGTCCCCTTCATGAGCTCATGGTGGACTCAAATTGGACTCTCTTATCAGAAAAACTGATTAAAATTCAAATGCTTGCCTTTTTTTGCCAAACAAGGTGGATATTCCGTGGGAAATATGTGGGATGGGTACTTTACAGGTGACCGCACATAATGGGATAAGGATTTCTTCTGAAGCTGAACATAGTCTAGCTCTTCTCAGTACCCATACTACAAACACTTCTTCCCTAAGAATACACATTAACATGTGCTAGAAGCTGGCTATGAATCCAGTAATGTAAAACATGAAGATGCATTGCAGACTAACTGTGCGTAGAATTAACAAAAAAAGGAAAAAAAGAAGCAGGTGAACTCGGCTAAGCTGGAGCTAAAATCTTGCAGTACTCCATGGTTATACAGATCACTGATGGAACATTTTACCACTGTTGTTGTATCAGGATCACTGCTGGCTAATAATCCTGTCGTGAGGTATTTTTTTAGCTGCGTTTTTATTGATTTAAATAACTTGCAGTTAATCAGATTAATTTTCTTCTTGCTTTTAACTGCAAGTTGTCTTCTTTCAGATCGAATGTATTTTTACATATCTAAAATATGTAATAGCACAATAAACCAGCCCTAATCTGTGTATAAATTAGTTGATGAAGAAAAACTGTATACAGAATATCTAATTAAGCATAACAGCATTCATATTTTTAACTCTATGCTTAAATTACAGAAGTAGCTGCCAACTATTCCACTATAAAATCAGATGATGTAGCAATATTTTCAGGAAAAAAATAAAATTTTTGCTGCAACAGAAATCATCAACTCTATCTTTGCGCTTAATTAAACTCTAGCAAATGTAAACCAACAATGAGGACTGTAATACAGATAGGGGAACTGTATCAGGGAGGGGTTCCTGTATCAGGGAAGGTCCGAGATATACAGACATGAAAAACAGACACCGTTGATAGCTCAACAAAAAAAACCCCAACCAATATTTATTACAAAAGGTGGCCAAGAAAATGAACAAACCCAAAAGGGAGGAACGAGGAGAGGAATAAGCCCCCAGCACGACCTCCCCAGTTACCCAGCTGTTGCCTGTAAAGTTCTCTTACCGACCTAGCAGGCCTATAATCACCCAGAGCAGAAGCGGCATCCTCGGAGAGTCAGTAAGTTAACAAGCTGGCAAGCGTCCCCGCCAAAAGGCAACGTTGTCCTTGAAGTAAAGCTAGCTCACTCCAAGAAAGCACTATCTGCTTTTTAAACAATTAATTGAGAGACCACAACCTCCCAGGTGTGGCCAGCACCGCCCAGCCCAAGGCCCTCAGTGCCACCTCCCGGTTATGTCAGTGCACCCCTTCTGCACATGCATGAGAACTTCAGAAATCCCCGCGCGCATGCACAGTGCATTTTGGGGGTCTATCTTAACTGAGTCTGGGGCCGAGCCTTCCTTACTTCATCATCACTTTCTCCTCCAAATGCCCTTGACACACAAGTAACCAATCACAGGACACCAGTTAAAACAGTTTATACAAGAAGCTCTCTTCAAGGACAATTTTCCCGTTTATCAGTGCTGGTTTTCCCATAACTTGGCAGGGAAAGAGCAAAGCTTTCACAGGTGGCAGGGCCAAACACAGACCAAAAGTATCAGCATAAATTCACCCTGATACAGGGAACCACATATGCTTTACTGCTTTTTAGTTGTGTAGCAATATAAATCATATTGGCAAAGGTCGCTAAGTACCATTTGTAGTGCACCAAGCTCATCCTAGCAGGAGTGGAAATTCCTAACAAATAAAACCAAAATACAGCTCAGATTCAGTGGGAATACAGTTCTGATATCAATCATTCCCTAAAAGACCTGATGATCCATAAAGCTAATATGCTTTCATTTGTTCCTGGTTATGTATTCTCTTGCCCATGCAGATGCTCATGTCTTGCCTTTACAGGTGCACAGTGTTTTGAAGGTACTTTATTTTGTGATATCAGAAGTGATAGCTGGGTGTCATAAACCATTGTGTCAATTGGAAGAGGTTAAAGTGGTTGCACCCTTCATTAGAAGTGTACAAGAAATACAGCAGGGTGCCAATCAGGTTTGGAGATGTAAGAAGGTTCTGAGAGAAAAATTCCAATTTTCTCTCTACTGGACAGGCTCAGGAGAGTGCATTTATCACCACTGGCATTAGAAAAAATGCCAGCTTTGTTTAGAGTGTTATATATGTATTTATTCAAAAAATAGTTTCCTCAACATCATTAAGTGTAGTTTTGACATGGTGATCTTTACGATCTAAAAACCCTGGAACGGATAAATGGAGCAGGATTGACTCCAGCCAACAGATGCAGTGAATCACTCAGGCAGGTCTCATTGTTAGGGGTGGAAATCAGCATCAAAAAGCATTAAAAGATTGAGGTGAACTAATTGTGCATTATGGTATTGAAGGGATTGTATGTCATGGTTAGGATGCTGAACAGTTGCTCCAATTTTTTGTCAACTTCCACAGCTTTCTGTGCATTTGACTTTCTGAAACGTGACTGAAAATAGGAGTGTGCCCAGACCCAGGCAGGAGGGCTGAGGAGTGGACTGCAGTGCTGCTGCTCTAGTGTGCTCCCCTCACTGCTGACTAGCAAAGAGCAACTGTTCAAAGATGGGCCCTGGTAAGTAATTCTGTCTGCTCCTTCCTCTCTGCAGGGTAACACCACACACAGCTTCCTGTAGCTTTGGATCTGCTTCAGTGATTAATCAGTGAGTTTGTATTTGAATGTTTTTCTTCATGGGAGGTGTTGGTGCACTGGAACCAGCCCTAAAAGCATGTAACAGCTCCTAGACTAATTTAAAGTTCAAAATTTGAAACTAGGTAGGCAATTGTGGGTTATTAGAGTACATATGGGAAACAATGACTGAGTCTCAACGAAAAAATTGTTTGAAAATTGAACAATTAGAATCTAATACTGTCTCCTTGGATTGCTAAGGTTGTCTTCTGTCACATACACAGTACTGATGTGCTGGGTAGCACAAGTTTACAGCAGACAAGAAAGGCAGGAGTCTGCTCAGTGGAGTGGAAGCAAAAACATCTTGTCAACTTACTTTAAAACAATTACTGGAGCTTTTCTGTATTTTTCTACAACTTTTTTCTTCCAGTAACTGGGGATTTTACACTGAACAGTTGTGTGCAATTACACCATGGCACTATCCAATTAACCACCCAAGGTAGCACAGCTCAAAGAGATTGCTAAATGATGTGTCCCACCAGTGATCTGCACTTGTTAACCAAGGGGCTGGAGCAATGTTCTTCTGGAGTGGTGAATCCATTTCATGGAGCCTGCGTGCTGTTTTAAGAAGTACAGTTTTTCTTGGTGTCCATATGTGTATTCTGATGGTGTATTTGTGCCTGGTTACTTCAGACTAGAAAGTTTTTTCATGGTGTGTCTTTGTTCCTTCTTCCTGCCTGTTGCATGTACACGTTTTGATGTGGAGGGGGCGATTTCAGTTCCTTTCTCCTGCTCATCTGACATGGAGGACTCTGCTTCTGAAATTCTTTCCCAGTAGAATAGTAAACATTTTACTCCCCACTCCTTTCCTGATTCATTTTGCCAGCACAAGGTCAATTTTTTTTCCCCTTGGGAAAATAGTGAATCAATTATAACACAATGAAATTGTGTTGTATACAAACTCACCAGTTTCAAATCTTCAAAATCCTCTTCTGAGTGTTCTGCCACCCTCTTGGTGGAACTCCAAGCTCATTCTCTCATTTTCTTGGATCTGCAACATTAAGTAATAAGCAACCTCCCTTATCCCCCCCCACAAACCCCAACCAACTAAAAAAACCAAGTAAATGAACAAAGACCACCCCCCAAACCCCCTCCCCCTCAAAAATCCCCAAACCAACTCAAACACCTAAACTACATTCGAGTCAGAATTGAATGTGATTGTCTTTAACATGAATACTCTATCTTTATTGACACAAAGATCAGCTTAGGGCAGTAAATACATAAGATTCCTCATGATACATCACTGAGAATTAGGCTTCATGGAAAGAGTGATGTGAAATAAGGCAGTGAGCTTGGAGACCTTTAGTGTGGGGGTGTGTGTCCACCAGCTCCTCCTTTTGAGCTGTGGGAGGGAATGGAATAGCTCCCATCTTCCAGCAGCTGGTACCCAGACATTCTACTTCTATGCAGATGTAGATGAAAATTTTTTGGAAGGAGTTTTTCCACGTGCTCTTCAAGCTGTTCAGTGAATCCCATTTCTCTTGTCTTTTGCACCAGATTTCTTTTATTCCTGTTTTCCTTTTTTTTCCTTTTTTTTTTTTTTTAAACTGAGATGAGTATGAGAGAAATTAGTAGAAAGCTTCCCATTTACTTTAGTCAGCTTTAGGTTGTAACCACCAACATTTCTAGTACTGGTTTAGAAAAGCAGGCATAATTTTATTGGCCACTTAGGAGGCTTGACTATTGTAAGAGTTGCATGACAGTCAAATTTGGATATTCTATTCACATACTCACACTTCAAAGAATTTCAGAAACCAATCATTGATCTTACAGGTTGGCATGCAATAAAAGTATTTTTATTATAAAATAAGGTATCTTATGATGACAAATACGATAAGTAATTTTTTTTGCTTTACTTTGACCTGTATCAGATGTAGTCTAAAACACAATAATTGATGTGATATATGTCACTGAAAGCACACAAGAGGGAAAGAAGGCACCGAATAAAATGGCATGGTTGATTTATTGAGACTCAGAAATCCCCCAGTTGCATTTCTCATGAGTGTCATAACACATCTCTAATTAGTTTGGAAAGGCTATAGGACCTGGAGTGCTGAATCAAGCAGTCAGACTTCACAGAAGTTATAGCTGCTAAAATATTCCTGTGTTCTTATGATGCTGATCATGTTTTCTTGCAAAAGCAAAAGCAGCTAGGATTGTAAGCTCGCTTCACTGTGCAAGCAAAACACTTATTTACAAAGATATATAAGTTTCCTGAGATGACAGACTGTACTTACTGCTTTTGAAAGGGGGTCAGTGTAATGTCAGCCTTAGAAAATGATTGTCTCCTGACAGTGTTCTTGGACAGCTGGTCAGTCTCTTCTTAAAAGAAGTTGAAGCATGAATCAGTATGTTGTTATTTCTTTTTCATGAGCTCATTAACCAAGCACTTTGTGCAGCAAAATACCCCTTCCCAAACTGTATCTGTCAATACAGAATGTGATGATCTGTGTTTGTGCCAACAATATTTTTGTTATTGTTCTTCTGACATGGTAAACTGAAACACTGCCTTTCACTTCAAAAACTGAATCACTGCCTATGTAAAGGAAAAATGTTCAGAGTTCTAGTCGTGTGTTCCAGTTGCAAAACTATTCCAGGGACTGCACAGCCCATTGTTATTGTTAAATCTCTGTTGTTTTTGCAGCGGATCGTGTTCAGCAATTAAGCTTTATATTGCTAACAGGTTTTAGCTCCAGCTTTGGGATGCTGGTATGATTTTTGAATCCGTTGACTCCTCCTCAGAGAACCAAACCCCTTTCTGCCACGAGTGTTTAATTTTGCCTCTCTTCACTGCATTCAGCCCAGCAGCATCCTTTTGGGCATAAAATGATTTCAGGGGTGCTTCGTATTGGATCCTGTGAAAGGTTTTAACAATCACAGTCTGGAGAGATGGGGCGCAATTCCGGCATCGAAGGACGCAGTCAACCAAATGCTGATTTTTGAAGTGTGCAGTGTACTGTATAAGAAAAAATGATCATTTTTGGACATCAGTCGGATTAGACTAACACCAGAGTGCCCAATTTTCTTTGCCTTTTGCTGAGTTTTCTTCTGACATGTCATTGTAAAATTGTTAGAGAAAACCACAGGTTCACTTCAGCAGAAACTTAATGCTTTCTGTTTGCAACAGAAGCCTGGCACAGTCAGCAGGGATGCAGGGACAAACTAGGAAATCTCTCCTTCCCCTAGGCATTCTTGAGGCACCTCATTTTATGTACTGCTTATATATAAACATATAAATATTGTAAAGTTTCATGTAGCAATAGAAAACGCCCTTTTGCTTGGATTGCTTTTACTGTTAGACATTTGCCTAAACACATCCTTCTCAGATTTTTGTTGGTTAGATTGTTGTTAACCAAAACACACTCTGAACAAACTGAGTGGTCTGCCTGGGATAGACCACCTAGAATAGATAGAGTTGATTTTTAACTTTTAACCAAAAAGGTCTAACCTTTCTGAGGTAGTGGGTTCAATATGTCAACAGACTTGTTTCTTAGGCTTAGTGCTTTTTTTTTCCCTTTTTTTAATTCCCCAAACTGAAGAACTTCTGTGGGGGTCTTGCTCATTCAGGGATGTATAACCCTTAATTTTAGGGTTTTTTAATACTCCTCCCTCCTCTTTAATTGCTTGGGTTTGGATTTTTTAAATGGTATTACTAAGTATAAATAGTTTTTATAAGCACTATCTCTTATTTAATAGATTAGTTAAAATGCTGCTCAGTATGGAAGTATTTTATTAAACTTTCAGATGTGATTTATGATTGTTTTGTTTTGTCTAAACCAGCTCCCCACAGCTTCTACTGGCCTCGTGCCAATTCCAGAGTGATTTCTAACTGGTTTAAATTTTGGCAATTTAAAATTATATATTAGAACATGTGTAGTCTTTGATAGCAGACTTAAAAAATGCACTTTTAAAAATACATAAAAAGCATAAAAAGTGTAAATGGATTCTACAGTCAGTGAAGACGTTTTTGTAGGAATGCATCAATATCTACTTACAGCAATCTGCTGAGATTATTCTTGTATTGAAATTGTACTTTCAAATAATTAGATATTTGTCTGGAAAGCTCTAGGGGCTGGGGAGGAGAACACTTCCATAAGCCTGAGGTTTTTATAGCATTTGCAGTCCATTAGTCAGAAGACACGTTACTCATTTTTTTCAGTCGTGGAAGATTTATATCTTTCAGTTAATTGCTCATACTTATGGTTTTAATGCATGTAGAGTGTTCACTTCAGAGTATTCCTTTAGACATATATGAATGACACAAATTGTAAAGCTGTAAAGGAACTCCAATATGTGTACTGTGAGGCAAAACTAACGTGCCCATTTGTGAGCTGGAGTGGCAGTTCATCAAAAGTCTCTTCACTGTATGATGCTGTACCATCAAGCCCCCAAATTCTACAGTTTGCATCTTGACAAGTGAGCTGTAAGGCCAAAAAGAGCTGAGGTGTGATTTTTTTTTTCTTTTCTTTCTGCTAGAACAGTTAGAGGGAGCTGCAAAGCACAGGTCCTATGTCTGTGTCATGGCTGTCAGCATTACAAATTTGCTAATTAATAAGAAAACAAGAGCTAAATATAAAACATGCAAGATTTAATTTCGAAGCATGAAGGAAGAAAAATGACAGCCTTCTCCTGCAGTGACAGTAATTACTAAATTGACGAGAACAAAAGAAGGACTTGTAAGAATGCAGAAGTTATTTAGGGGCAGGTATAGTCACTTATCCCTTTTTATCTAAATTATCACAGCTGTATAATGCTTTTAAAGCTTTAAAATACACAACAATATGAAATTTGATGAGAAAAAAATATTTTGAAGAGCAATTAGAGCTGGAGCGATTCCCGTTTGTGCTTTTGGAAATTCTTGAAAGACAAAGTACAAAAATTATAAA